TCGAGTGAGTGGGGCCGGCGGGGCGCGGGGTCTGCGGCCCGGGGGTGCGGGCGGGACCGGGGCCCGGGTGTCCGGGGCCGGGGTGCAGGTGGGACCGCCGCCGGTGCCGCGTCCCGCGGGGGGAAGCGGCAGCACCGACCGAAACCGGCCAAATAAGGGCTTGTGCGAGGCGGGGGCGGGGCGGGCCGCGGGGCAGCGCTCCCGGCGATGCGGGGCCTTCCCCCGGGTGCACCCCCGGCCCCAGAGCAGCTGGGTGGCCGGGATTGCCTGGGGCCGCCCCCCGCCCGGGGGCTCCGCCTGCGACCGGGCCCCGTGTCTGAGGCTTTGCCCTTGTACCGGAGGCGGAATTCGCCGTGGTGCTGCCAGGGCTGGGCTTCCAGGTGCCTCCGGCCAGTGGCCGTCCCTGCGGGCAGCTCTGTTGGTCTGCCCAGAGCTGTCCCTGCCGGCAGCGTGGCTGGTGCAGCGCAGGGAGAAGGTAGCCCCGAGTGGCTCCTGCTGAAGAGAGGGGGTAGCCCTGAACGGGGCTGCAGGGTGGAGACTGGATGCACCCGGATGCCCATGGACCTGGGCTCTTCGCCAGCCCCCAGGGTGGCATCTCCTTGTGGCAGTGTGGTGGCCACACGTGTGTGGGCCGGAGGGGCTGCTGTGGGCACAGCTGGCAGCACGTTTATGTCCCGCTCTGTGCTGGGCTCTCGGCGACACGGGGATGCTCCATCAGGCTCTGTGAGCCTGCACAGTCAGTGACCTGGCCCGGTTCTGTCTCACCAGCATCCACCAGCTGAGGAGCAAGGTGTCAGAGGAACATGAGGTCATCAAGAAGAAGGAGCTGGAGACTGGCCCCAAAGCCTCCTATGGCTACGGGGGGAAATTTGGAACAGAGCGGGACCGAATGGATAAGGTAACGGTTGTAGAGACCTTCCTTGGGCCCCAATGGAAAATGCTTTTCCTCCTAAAGAGAAGAGCATCCCTGCTTCCTGGCCTGACCCTGAAGGCAGAGAACAGAGAGCTGGCATGGCTGTGCAGATTCACACGTTTAGCTACATCCTGTCTCCAGGATCTGTTTGAACCCATTTGCATAATTTGTCTCTACAACTTCCTTGCAACACTCCCCATAGCTATGAAGAAGGGCTTTCTGTGGCTTGTTTCAAACCTGCTGCATAACAATTAAATTAGGTGCCTCCCTACTGTCCTTGGAGAATTAATGAATAATAATTCCCTCCTCAGAGTCTGCAGTACAGATCTCTGATAGATCTCCCTGGGATGAAGCCCTAGTTCATATTCTCTGTTCTCATGTCAAATCTGTTTTATGTTTTCTGATAATCATCATCAAGCTTCTTCCTGTACCTTTCAGCATTTAATATATTATTTTTTCAGAAGTGAGGTTATGAGGTTGCAGTAGTATCCCATCTGTGGGTCGCTGTGGGTGTGCACGGTACCAGCATGGCGGGGCGGACAGCAGACATTTCAGGAGGTGGAGATGGAGCAGCCGTGCTCAGAGCCTTCTGCCAGAGCAGAGCGAGGGTGCTTTTGTTGAGCGGCTCCTCGGTCTTCATTCAGTCTCACCAGGGTGCATCCATCCTCTTGCCCTTCTTCCAAGGAGCATGAGCAGTTCCTGGCTACACCACCTCCTGCAGGGAGCAGCGGGACCCTGCCCCGGACCCGGCCCATGGTGGCCGTAGGGGTGACATCAGCCAGAGCTGCTGACCCTCCCTCTGACACAGAGAACAGGGAGCAGGTGTGAGATCTGCTGCCGTGGGGTTTCAGTTGTGCTTGCCCAAATGCACTTTTCTCCTCAGTTTCCCCATGTGATTATCCCCCACTCCACTGGCATTTGGGAGTGGCAGGTATTGAGCATCCCACAGTTTGTGTGACAAGCTGGCAGTGGGGCTGGCTTTGTGGGATGGCTGTCTGTGGAGCTGTGTCACAGGTCCCAGGGCAGGGCCAGTATGGCAAAGGCTGTGCAGAAGCCATCGCCACCACCAGCATGGTCATCTTGGACCAGTCACCTGGTGGCCACCAGTGCCTCGGCTATGGGCAGAACCATGGTGTGGTGGCTGTGTATGTCCACCCCGCCGGTCTGATGGTGGGTGCTCATGTCACACTGTCTCTCTCTCAGTGCGCGGTGGGCCACGAGTACGTCGCTGACGTTGGGAAGCATTCCTCGCAGACAGATGCCGCCCAGGGCTTTGGGGGCAAGTACGGAGTCCAGCGGGACCGCGCTGACAAGGTGTGTGGGACAGGCTCAGTGCTGCCCTTAAAACACTGGGCTATGCTGAAGATTGTGGTTGCTGTTTTCCAAGTACAGGGTTAGACATGCCAGCCACCAGGTCTCCACAGAAGCAGGACCTCACCTCCTTTGTGCAGGAAAGTGGCTGGTGACAAGTTGCAGGGCACTTGTGAAGATTAACTCTTTGGTGTGCATTAACATGCTCGCACTCTTCTATCCAGAAAGCACCCTGTTTGTCTTGGGGGCCATGATATTTGGCATCTCCAAGCCCCCAAGCTGTGCCATGCACAGTGGCAGGAGTGGATGGGGACAGCAGGACGCACACCCTGGTGTCAGATGCTGCCCAGCCGCCTCTCTTGCTGACATGGTGTGTCGTCAGGATGGTGGCCCTCTTGCCTGTAGTGTAGGGGCTTCCTGAGCCCATGGTGAGCAGGGGTGGCCCGTGCCAGCCGAGGAGTGGCCTGGTGCCTGGTGTTCAGCACAAGACGGGGAGCAGGGTTCCAGCCCTGGAGGAGGGTGGGTGAGGCCCAGCTTGGTCCTCAGGATGACTAACATTCCTCCCCTTCTCGTTCCAGTCAGCGCTGGGCTTTGAGTACAAGGGTGAGGTGGAGAAACACTCATCCCAGAAAGGCAAGTCCATGGGCACCTGTGGCCCCTTGACGCGTTAACCAGCTTCTCTCTCTGCTCCCAGTGTCCCATGCTGTCTGCTGTGGCACAGTCCCCTTGGGTATCCCCCTCCAGTCACTTGTTTCTGATTCCTGTTCCCAGTCAGACACTTTCGTGGCCCTGTTCTCTGCTGTCCTGTCGCCACCCTTCTGCTGTGCGTCCCGCTTGTCTCTGCGTTTCGCTTTGATGGAAACCACATCATGGCTGAGCAGAGAGGACACCCCCACACGCACCCCTGACGGATACTGCTCCCTTTCCTCTGAAAGTCCTTCCAGGCAACTGCTCCCGAGGGAGCCCAGGCACTGGGGGACGTGAGAAGTGATTTTTGGAAAACCAGCGTGTAGGAAAAGGCACAACAATGGATACGGAAACAAAAGGCTGTACAGCACCCAAACTTCTGCAGGGTTCTGGAGATTATTCAGCCAAACCTTCAAGTGTACATACAAACAGCTGTATTCATTAGAACATTGCATGAACTGAAACTAAAGATATTTTAAACATTCTGCAACCAAGAGAAAGTGAGAGGGCAAGATCTGTTACTGTTTCAGATAAATGCGAGGAATACTGCATTACCAGGAAAAGAAGATCTGAATAATGTCTGTTTCAGAGGAAACTATAAAAGAAGGAAGATGTTTTTGAGGCATTCTTGGTTGATCTTAGATTCAACTGTCGGCTGAACATGAGCCAGCAGTGTGTGCCCAGGTGGCCAAGAAGGCCAATGGTATCCTGGCCTGTGTCAGGAACAGTGTCGTGAGTAGGACCCGAGAGGTGATCATCCCCCTGTACTCGGCACTGGTGAGGCTTTGCCTCGAGTACTGTGTCCAGTTTTGGGCCCCTCACCACAAAAAAGACATTGAGGTGCTGGAGCGGGTCCAGAGAAGGGCAACGAAGCTGGTGAGGGGTCTGGAGAGTAAGTCTTATGAGGAGAGGCTGAGGGAGCTGGGGGTGTTCAGTCTGAAGAAGAGGAGGCTGAGGGGAGACCTTATCGCACTCTATAACTACCTGAAGTGGGGCTGTAGAGAAGCAGGGGTTGGTCTCGTCTCCGAAGTCACAGGAGATAGGACAAGGGGAAATGGCCTCAAGTTGTGCCAGGGGAGGTTTAGATTGGATATTAGGAAACATTTCTTCACGGAAAGGGTTATCCAGCGTTGGAATAGGCTGCCCAGGGAAGTGGTTGAGGCACCATGCCTGGAGGTGTTCAAAAGATGGGTTGACACGGTCCTCAAGAATATGGTTTAGTGATTTTTTTATTGCTTATTTCTTATTTATTTATTTGTCAGGGTTAGGTTGATGGTTGGACTAGATGATCTTTAAGGTCCCTTCTAACCTAGGCGATTCTATGATTCTAAATTCGCATGCAGTTGTGCAGTTAAAAATCACATGCAGTTGTGCAACATTAACATATTCCTGTATAAGAGATTGTATACTAGATTTGAACACAGAAATTCATTGGGTGGTGAAAAACCACAGAAATCACCAGGACAAAACGAAAATGTTAGAAATAGGGTAAGGTGTTTGGATTGTTTTTCATAAAACTGTGTCCATACTGGAAACTCCAGCATCAGGGCAACAATCATAAAATCTGTATTTGCTGAAAACAGCATCCTACAAGGTCTGTTTCTTAATGGCCTAATAGGTAAATAATAGTTTAATCAAGATAAGTTTAAGAAATTTTGGGGACTTAGTGATTCATCCTTAATTGACTGAGCTTCTGTGAAACAGAGCCGTTCTTGAATACAAAAAGTTTCATGCTTATTTCTCTCAATCTCAGTCTTCATGGGCTGATAAGGCTGAATTTGCTGAGTAAGCCCCAACTCATTCCTGTGAAATGTAGAATAGGGTCAGGGAACAGGGACCTGACTGTGATTTACTCCTGAAGGGCAGGATTTGGAAATGGAGCTGGTATTTATTACTAGTTTAGACAATGGGAAAAGGGGAGGTGTAAGGGAGATGTGCTGTGCCTCTGTCACATAATGGCCAAGTGACAGTCTGGTGGCAGAGCTGGAGCCTGTCTCCAGAAATGTGGGGTTCAGCCTTTGCTGCAACCTCCAGAGTCAGTGGTTTCCTTGTAGACTCTGAGATTCCATTACAGAAAACTCAAGCTGTACAACAAGAGTTTGCCAAACTTCTGTACTTTCAAGGGCTCAGTACACTCATTCACAGACGTTTTCAGAGGCTGGCAGAGCAAGAGTTGAAATCCTTACCCTGGGAGGCGCGGCTGGGTGGATGCCCAGGCCCTGAGTGCCCAGGTCTTGGCTTTGTGCCTGCGGATGGCTGAGCTCCCACTGTCTGCCCGCCTGCCCTTGACACATTACTTTTCTTTCTTGCCCTCTCCTGCTGCCATGGTCCTCAGACCCTCTTGTTGCCACGACCCACGCCTGCCCTGTGCACCCCATCTTCATTCTCAGTGGCCCTCATGGTGGTCCCTGCTGTCCATTCTGTCCCCTCCAAATCCCTTGTGTTTTCTAGTGTTTTCCATTGTCCCTGCTGCTCTTCCTCCTCCCCTGATGCGCCCCCTCAGGACTGCTCCCCATTTTTACCCCCTCCTCTCACCAGCCCCATGCTGGGGGCAGCATTTCACTCCATGTTACCTCCTTAGATTACTCCAAGGGCTTTGGTGGCCGTTACGGCGTGGAGAGGGACAAGGTGGACAAAGCAGCAGTGGGATTTGACTACAAGAGCCAGGCGGAGAAGCACGACTCCCAGAAAGGTGAGCTTGGGGAGCCCAGCACAGTGGGCAGTGTTGGGACTGCAGCTTGGGACTATGTCCCCAGGTAATGGCGGGGCACCATGCTTGGGTTTTGCAACCTGCCACATGAATGATGGAGAAGCTGCAGGGAAAAATCTGGCCTTGCTATGTGTCTTTCTCTGAGTCCTGGTCAGGGAAAGCTATTGGCCCTGTGGGAACAGCCTGAGCTCACAGTGCTGCCACTTTGCTCTTTCCCTCCCTTGTCTGTTCTTTTCCGTGCTATGGCTGAAGACTATTCTGTGGGCTTTGGTGGGAAGTTTGGTGTCCAGAGGGATCGTCAGGACAAGAGTGCCCTTGGCTGGGACCATCAGGAGGATGTGCAGCCCCATGCATCCCAGACAGGTAGGACAATGCTGCCAGAGAGGTGGCAGCACACTTTCTTTGGGGCACACACACACCTAGAGCTGGTGGTTCATACAACGTTCATACAACGTTCATACAACATTCAACAATGTTAGGTTGACAGTTAGACAAGATGATCTTTAAGGTCCCCTCCAACCTAGAAGATTCTGTGATTCTGTGACAAAGATCCAGCTGCTGAAAACTGAATGTGTGCAGCAAGATGTGGGGCAGCTGGAACACTGTGAACCCCCAAAGCGCAAGGGTAAACTCTGCCAGAGTAGGTGCATGCTTGGCTCTGTGGCGGACGTTGAACAGAAGTCCCTCAATCAGGCTTCTCAGGCTCTGCTATGCTTTCTCTGAGGGGTACATTCCCCATAATTCAAGAGGTGAGCATGTGGGAATGAGGCAAAGGAGGTTCCAGCAATGGCTCAACTACTGAATGTTTAACTTCAGCAAACAGGCCACTTTGCACTCAAATGGCATGACTGGCTTCTCACCCCAGTGCCTCAGAAGCAGATTTGCCAGAACATAGCACTGAACCCCTGTGCGCTTCTCTGAAAGGAATGAAGGATTAATCTTAAAAGCTCCTGTCCAGAGCATTTTCCATTTTCTATCTCTATCTAGTTCCATATGTGATAAGATGCAGACAAAGTTAACTCATTTTTCTGGTCACAGCATACTGAAGTCAGAATATAAATATATATATATAAAAATATGTATATATAAAAATACTTTAATATATTAATATAAATATATAAACTATAAAGCACCCTAATTTTTTCCATACAGACTATGCCAAGGGATTTGGAGGCCGTTACGGGGTCCAGAAGGACAGAGTAGATAAGGTAAGACTGCATGCTGCTGCAGTTGCCTCCTGCTCATCACTGCTCTCTGCACTGCTGCAAGAGAGGAGACGTCCCCGATGGAGATGAGGTCCCACAGCTCCATGCACAGCTATTGCGAGGGTGGGGGAACCGGCTGGGTGTGAATGCCAGAGGGTGCAGAGGAACACAGCCGGGGGAGACCGTAACGTGAGGAAGAGAAAGGTTTTTCCGTTCATAGCTGCTTTTGAATCATTCTACTCTCAGACTGAACAGTCATACTCCTGCTTTCTCTTGGGGTGGTATTTAATAGCAGAGCCAGGGAAGAACTTTCTAAGGGCATCAGACTGTGCCCTCCTGGATATCTAGTACCACTGAGATACTGGGAGTGTCCTGTCTGGCTGCCACCACTCACCTCATGAAGCTAGTGATTCTCAGCTGTTCAGATGTGTTTTCACTTTGGTGTTCTCCAGCCTGTGTTACTACATACACATACCACAGGCAGCAACTTGCTGAAGGGACACCTTTTTTCTCGGTTAGGCAGCTGCAGCTCTGCCTCCAACAGGGAAGTGCTTCCATGCCTCACGCCACCGGGAGGGCAGGGGACGGATGCGTCAGGTCCCTCAGGAAGGGGTAGATGCCAGGCATCCACCCGGCTCTTTGCCATGTTACCAGCGAATGTTTCTGCCTTGAGTGGCCAGCCTTGCTGTCCAACACAGCAGTTGTCTTGCTGCTCTGCAGCCTCCTCTGCTTGGCTTTACGCAGCCTTTTTGGCCCTCTGACCCCCCTCCTCTGACAGGAGCAGCCCTGGCCTGTGGCTGGAGGATGGTGGGCACTGCCACAGTGCAGAGAGGTGTCAGGAGAGCACGGCCACAGCCAGCAGCCTCCACAGGCCTCGGGTTGGGGTACAGATGAGGACAGACAGACACAGCTGGGAACAAAGCTCGCAAGTCACTGGTGCCCAAACCCAGCAGGGAAACACGGCACTGACCTTACCTGACGAGCTGGACACCTCATTCTCTTCCTCTTGCAGAGCGCTGCTGGCTTCAGTGAGATGGCAGCTCCCACCCCATCTTATGAGAAAACGAGGCCAGTGGAGGCAGGTGAGACAGAGGGATACCAGCCCTGGGCTGGGTGGGAAGCCATGGGCCTTGTGGTCCTACTGTGGCAGCACGTGGACGGGCGTGTCCTGTGGTGAGATATGGATCTCACCTGCATTTAGGGGCAGGAAAAGGTGGCTGAACTGCAAGTTTCTCTGGGAGAGGGAGAGGTCTGGGTCTCTCCTGGATGCCTGAGGTGATGGAAGGGAGCCATTGGGCAAGCTTGGTCGGCTGTCTTCTCCACAGGAGCTTCCAGTGGCACCAGCAGCCTGCGGTCACGATTTGAGAACATGGCTAAGTCAGCGGAGGAGGAGAGCAGAAGGCAGGCCGAGGAGGAGCGGGTGAGGCGGCAGGCCCGGGAGTGCCAGGCGGCGCGGCGGAAGGTGAGCCATGGCCATCTTGCTGTATCCTCTGAGGCTTGCAAAGCAGGCTTCTCCTCAGGGTCATGCAGCTCTGTCCGTCTACCTGATCTCTTTACAGTAATCTCTTGCCTAAACTGCTTCCCTGCAGCTGCTGGGGGCTGCCATTGAACTTCATGACTGTCACTGGATTTTCCCTTTTGGCACACAGACCAGGAGGTGCCCGCAGCCAGCCATCATGCCCTGTGCTTTGCCCTAGGCTCCTTCTTGCCTCTAGTGCCTGGCCAACACAGTGCCATCCCACCTATCAAATGTCACCATCCCAGCAGTCTATGTTCAGGCTTTTCCAGCTAGAGATGGCACCCAAACCTTCATGTTTACTCCTCCTACATTGTGCTGTTCTGCATTCAACATGCAGATAAGGTTTCACCAACAAAGCACTCCCTGATACACACCCTCCTTGAGGCTACTTTCTGCAGACCCCATGGTTGTTAGAGGCCTGCTGGTGTCCCGTCCCTAGGCAGGGACAGGTTTATGGGAGCTGATCCCAGCTGGAAGAAAACTGAGAGTTGCTCTGTGAGCTGGAACAGATCTCAACTGGAGGAAAAATTTCTGAGTTGCTGCATCGGGGATGGGAATGGGCGTTGCTCTGGACCTCATTCAAGGGGATTGAGGGGATTTAATGACTTTTCTCTGGCAGGAAATCCCACAGAGGGAGAAGGACCAGACAGAGGCAACCTCTGCAGCCCTGCCGGCCAGGGTGCCTGGGGGCACTGACCGAGAGCGGGCTGCGTCACAAGGAGTGCAGGTACCACGGTGCTCTGGGAACAGCCAGGAAGGGGCACAGGCAGAGGGGATTGCACCCGAGAGTGGTCTGTGCTTTGCAGGCAGAGCTGCAGGGATAAGTGGGGTGCAGCCACAACATGGGAGAGGTGTTGGAAGGAGTGAGGGGGTAAATGTTGGGATGGTGATGGGGCATGGCTACACAGCACCTTACGCCACAAGATGGGCTCTTGGGGTGGGTCAGTGCAGTGAGATGGAGCTAAGCATGTGACAAAGGTTCAAATACATGAGCTATGGCTCATGTCTTCACAAGGGTCTTCACAGCAGTCCCAGACTCCAGTTCAGCACAGACCTCATGGCTGAGGTGTTTCACCCTTGTGCGGAGGGTGGTGCTCCGATTGTGTCGTGGTAGCACAAAAGGCACCTGCAGTGGAGCAGACTCCCTTGGGTTGGTGCTGTGTGGTTGTGGGAGAGCTGCCTGCACCTCTCCCAGGTAACTTTCCTGCCACTTCCTCCCTTCACAGCAGGATGCAAAAAGGGAGGATGAGGAAACACCACCCACTTTGCCACCAAGGCCAGCAGATCTGGGTGAAGAGCTGTGCAAGATCCCCAACCAGGATCAGCCCATCTACAGTGAAAGTTTGGATGTCAGCAGAGACTATGAGGAGCTGCCAGAGCCGTCTGACTACTGTGATGGTACCAGTGGAGGTGCTGACTATGAGGAGCTGCCAGCATCCTTGGAAAAACCAGATGCCATCTATGACCATGGTGAAGACGGAGATGATGACTATGAGAACATCCTTCCTGAGGAGCCCAGCCAGAGCCAGCCCCACCTGGGTGAGTACTGGTGGAAGTGTCTGTGTCGTGGGGACCTTGTGTCTGTCCACTCACCTCACTGCATGTATAGGACAGACTCTAGAGGGAATTTGTATCCTGTAGCCTGCTGTGGTCAGACTAACAGCCCTGATGATGGAGACTTGGTTGTCTCCCACTGCCTTGCCTGGCTGCAAAGTGTGAGATCAGCTGCTTGGGATGCTGAGCCAGCAGCAAATGTCTCTGCTGGAGCAGGACTCAGGCAGGAGGACCAGAGAGCTGCCTTGGGCTCCAGAGAAGCTGGAGCTGAACAGATGCTCTTGGTGCACTCTGTCTTGGCAAGTGGCTGCTAGTGCTGCACTGAGGCCTGGGGGTGCCCTCTTAATTCAGCCTGTCAATCAAATGACCAGCGCTCATGAGACCTGACCTGGTGGTGTCTCCTGGGTGTGAGCAGTGCAGAATAGTCTTCCTTCAAGCACATAAGCGAACTGCATCGGCTGCTGTTGCTGTTTTTGCCACAGCTTCGCCGATACTGGAGATGGTAAGTGGAGAGGCTGGAGTTAAGTCCAGCCTTTTTCTTGGGAGAGGAAAATGAAGCACCAGGACCTTGCCTCTCTCCTTGCAGAAGGGGAGATAGTCATACCTTGCTCTGAGCCATGGCAGCTCTCCCTGTTGGTAGGTTTGGGATGTGGATCACTCCAAGGCTGGGTGGAGCGTGGCACTGACCAGATCCATATGGCTGCTTTCAGCCTCTTCCTCATCTGCCTGTCTTGTCTTCTGCAGGGGAAACGACCAATGTTTATGAGGTGGAGTACACTGGAACCTGTGCAGTGGCTCTCTATGATTACCAAGGAGGTGGGTCTGCCATCCAGGTGGTGGGGAGAGGCGCTGGGAGCTGGCTGGGGCGGTGTGACAGGGAGGGGGGTGGCTTACACCCTCAGTTGGTAGTTTATATTTCTTCCTCTTGAAAGGCAGAAAGAGACCTGACTTGGGAACACAGAAGCTTCCTCTTGCTCCTCCTCTGCTTTCTCTGTGCTGTTTGATGGGGGTTGGATGAGATGGACTCTGAGGGTTATCAGAATGTCCTGTATTCTCCTCCTGGGGTGGGAGCAGGGGTGTAAAACCAGCTCTCTCTGGGGTTATCTTTGCATTGTGACTATGTCTTCTGAACAATTTTTGCAGATGGAGATGATGAGATTTCTTTTGATCCTGATGACACAATCACACACATTGAGATGGTGGATGAAGGCTGGTGGCGGGGGCAGTGCCGGGGCAAAGTGGGCCTCTTTCCAGCAAATTACGTGAAGCTTCTGTAGTGAAACCAGCATTGTCCAAGATCCTTCCTTCCAAACTTTTGCCTGTCTCTGCTTCAGCCTTTTAGTATTAGCTTAATTTGGCTTGGCCTGGTGAGTCTGCATGCAAGAAATGCCAAGGAGCAAACTGGCAGTGTCTGAGGGAACGTTCTGGCCTGTGCCCAAGAGGACTTTGGTTCCCATCTACTTCCAGATGGGAAAAGTGGGATGGTTTAAGAGCATACAAGTGCGATATAAGATGTCTGTTCTACCTAGGCTGTCCCACACGTCAACCAGCAAGCTTTCAGAAGTGTGTCCATTCCTGTTTCAAACAGAGCAATTCACAGAAAAACACAAACTCTAATCCAGTCCAGGCAGAAGGGACATGAACTATGGGACCTTTTTAAGTTGTTGTGGCCCCGAATCTCATTCTTCTCAGGGGTCAATGAGAGGAGCACGGTGAAGGCCAAACTTGCTTCTGTTCTTCAGAAGGGTTTCCACTTGCAGGATGAACCCTGTTTGCAGCATGGGGCAAAGAACATGAACCTGGTCTGTCTGGGCAGGTTCCAGGGCTGGGGCCTGGGAACATTGACCGTCGCAGTGAACGCTGCGGACTTGTCCTGCGCACGGGCACAAGCTGGGGGCTGTAATGAGCTGCTCCACACAACAAGAGAAGTGTGTGCTAGCACAATGCAACTGTAGGATGAACTTGCTAAGGTAGGAGATTACTTGCTTGGTTTTCCTCTACAAGTGAAGAGCAGTGTTGGGACGTGTGATTTCTGGGGTAAAACGTGAAAAAGGAAGTGTAGAAATTACATTGTTTTCTGAGAAAAATTATTCTGGAAAATCTTCCTTGGAGCAAGAGAAAATACTAAAAGGCTTCACTTAGCAAAGAATATGTTAATCACTGTCTTGGTCCTCATCCCAGCAGCCCATCAGAGGAATGTTCTGCTTGGGAAATCCTTTCAATCCAGCAAATCAATCGGAACAAGTGCTGCTTGATACAGGCAGTAGAATGTTAAAAATGCTCCATTTTTTCTGTTAGCTGGTTTGACAGTTTAAGTAAGCAGGCACATGCAGGTGGGTGGGAAGAACTGTCCCCCAGCTTGTCTCTGGCCAGAGGGCTCTGTTCGGCTTTGCAGCCGGTGCCAAAGGCAGGTTCTCCATCCTTGTGTTTGGCTCAGCCTGTTCTCTGCTGTTGGCTTTGAGTCCCTCTGGTGAAGCCAGGGCTCCCCAGTGTGGCAGTGAATTAGTTACAACCTCACAGGCCTTTGCAGGACTCACAAGATAAGAAATACTTGCAGGTAATGGTCTCACCAGTTTAATTAACAAAGGAGTGAATTATTTGTTAACCGGTGTGCTGGCTAGAGCCTCCTTATCTGAAGAATGCTATCCTTATTTACAACATCCTGCTTGTCTGACAGTTTGATGAAGAATGAGTTGCATGACCTAAGGTGTATAAACGGTGTGACTGCCCCATTTGGGCAGAGTTCAGGTCATAAGTGTCTGTCACTGCTGGGCTGTGCTCTTCCTCAGAGCTGCAGTAATAAACTGCTTCTGTTCTGGCCTAAAACTGCATCCTGGTTATTCTGTGACAGCTCAGGTCCCTTGTGTCTCTTGTAAGCGCGGTTCTTCGCACAGGGAAAAGGGCACCTGATTCTAGCCCTCCTTCGTCACAGATGGGAAAAGGCTGAGCAGGTGGGAAGTAGGACAAGAGGGATTTTATTTTTTTTTTTACTTTTAATGTAAATGAATGTAAATTTTTCAGTAAAAAAATTAATGTAAATTTTTCAGTAATAATCCAGTGCAAACAGAAGCCCTGCCTTGAACCAGCATATCCCAGTGCTGCTGTAGGAGTTGGTTGCTCCTTTGTGGTGTGCAGGTGCCATCGCAATAGGAGCAAATCAGGGACACAGGGACTCGTGAGCACACCCCAGTGCGGTGCTGCTGTCAACACCCAGGGCACAGGGGGTCCCTCTGTGACACCTTTAGGGTTTGGTGCGGCTCATGGGTGGGTTCTGGACCAGCCTGCATTTAACAAGACTGTTCTACCTCTCAGGACGTACAGCACCCCTGGTCAGTGTTTGGTACTGAGAAAAATCACAACCTGGGTCTGTCAATCATGGGAAAGCCACATTGTGATTCAGATTTGAAATTATCAATTTTAATGTAAAATTTCTGGAGGTTTTTGGTTTGGGTTTTTGATTGATTGGTTAGGTTTAGGGTTTTTTTGTGTGGTTTTTTTTTCTCTGAAATAACTTTCCCAATATTTTTTTCCTTGTGCAGTTCACCCTTTATTTCCTGGTGTTCCTTTTCAAGGGTCTCTCCAGAATAGGACACATTGTAGGCAAAGTGTCCTAGTGAGACTCTGAACTAGGTGTGCCTCAGTAGTTCTTTACAGTCAAGAAGGGTGTATAGCAAGTAGAGATGGCTGAGGCTTGCGATCTCTTTGGGTAAGAGCAACAGGCCATCCCAACACGTGGGTTACAGACACACGTCTTTTCCCTGAAGAATAAAATCAGTGTGTGTTACACACTAAGAACTGGCAAACTGCTCCCAACAAGCTGTTATGCCTCATGGGCCCGTTTACCCTCCAGTGGGTTTCTTTGGGAACAGACTGGATTTTGCTGGGTATCTCTTGGTAACTCAGTTGTGGCCCCTTCCAGCCGTCATGCTCCTCTGTGGCAGAGCTGCCAAAACGCCACTGTGGCTGCAGGCCTGTGCCTGCTTCCTCTGCACAAACCCTTCTGTGGTGGCTTCTGCTGTGGCATCAGGCACTGCTGGCCTGTGTCTACCTGCCTGCAGGTTTGGCCAGCCATGGGGCTGCCCCAACAACCCATGCAATCACTTGGGCTCTGATGCAGTTGCAGATCCACTGCAAGATGAGGTTAAGCTGAGGCAGTGGCCATGTCACCAGCCAGCTGTCGGCCACTATCGCCCACCGCCATGCCGCTCACAACCACCGCATTTTTATTTTTTTATGGCTATAAAGCAAAGCAAGCATTTCTGGTGAGATTGCAAGCAATGCCAGCTCACAGCTCAGCACTAATAACTTGCTGTTTGACCAAAGCGCTGAGAGTAATGGGTCCTGTTTAAGCTGCTGCTGCCATGCTAATGTACAAAATGCTATAGAGCGTTCATGGAGAACCCCAGCAGATGCCAGACTTGGTGCCCAAGCACGTGTGACAGGAGGATGGTGTGGTGGACCCTTGGCGGAGGCCAGAGTTTGCCATCCCAGCCATTGCCCCATGCCCCATGTGGGGCCTCAGGCGGAGCTCACGGCCTTTCCTGGGGCAAACACTTGCCTGGGACCACGTGAAATCGCCTTTTACCGTGTTCCCTGGTGGCAGCGTAGCTGCAGCAGGCCCCATGCTGAGCTCAGCATGTGATACTTGCAAAACAGAGACATGATGCCGTAACCGTATCCTTATTCCCAGGTTGATTTTGCCATTCTGCTGCCGGTGATGTGCAGAGGGTCAGAGAGGTGATGGTTGTGTGGTCCCACTGGCCGGGACCCCTGAGCCCGCTGCTGCCACCAAAGACTTCCCACAGACAGGGAGTGCAGTCTGCGGCTGGAGCCCCACCATTGCTCACACGTTGCTGCCCAGGGAGCCCAGCCTGCCCTGTCCCCGCACAGCCTTCCGCAGGGCCCCCCGCACCTCCTGGTTGCGCAGGCTGTAGATGAGAGGGTTCAGCATGGGAGTGACAATGCAATACAGCGCGGAGACCAGCGTGTCAGCTGCCGGCGAGTGACTGGAGCCGGGCCGGTTGTAGTTCAGGTTGGCCGTCACAAAGTACAGGGTGACCACAAGCACGTGGGCTGAGCACGTGGAGAAGGCTTTGCTCCGGTTTGTGGCCACGGGCATCCCGAGGATGGTGGCCAGGATGTGGAGGTAGGAAATGACGATGAGCAGGAAGGGGCTGAGGCCCACAAAGACACTGGCGGCATGGAGTGCCACTTCACTGGGGCGGGTGTTACTGCACGCGGCCCTCAGCAGCGGGGGGACATCACAGAAGATGTGCTGGAGCTGGGTGGCCCCGCAGAAGGAGAGCCTGGAGGCCAGGAGGGTGTGCACGGCCGAGTCCAGCATCCCCCACAGCCAGCAGCCGGCAGCTGCCACCGTGCAGACACCCCAGCTCATGGTGTGGGCATAGTGCAGGGGCTGGCATATGGCCACGTAGCGGTCGAAGGCCATGACAGCCAGGAGCGCACACTCGGCCCCTGCACACCCCATCAGGAAGAACATCTGGGCCAGACACCCGCCAAAGGAGATGGTCGCCTGCGGGCGCAGGGCGTTTGCAAGGATCTTGGGCACTGTCACAGATGAGTAGCAAATGTCCAAGCAGGACAAGTGACTGAGGAGGAAGTACATGGGGCTGTGGAGCTGGGGATCCAGGAACACAAGGGTGAGTATTGCAGAGTTCCCCAGCAGCGTGACCAGGTAAATGGCCAGGAAAAGAACAAAGAGGAAGGGTTGGCCATGGGAAAAGCCCAGGAGCGTGAACTCTGTCACGTGAGTCTGGTTCTCACCTGCCATGGGGCCAGCTGGGTTGATCTGTGGGCAGAAAGAAGCACTGTGAGGAACTGAATATTGCCATGATTGTGGGTCGGGGGACCGGAGCACACCCACGAGGCAAGAGTTTTGCTGGTAGGATGGCTTTGGTCCTGTCTCTATAGTGGTTGAAAGCTTCCCATGTTGAGATTTCACAGACACTAGGATTTCAGAGTCCAGAGAGCTGCCATTCAGCATTGAATACCTGACTGTGAGAGGATCACACAGAAGAAACCAGGAACAGTGTACATCGGGACTAACCCATACCTCCTGGGTTCTCCTGCCAGCCCAACCCCTGTCTTGATCAATATACCAAGCTCATCTCTCTTTTCCTCCTGGTTGCACTTATGGTGACCACATACTTCCCTACCCTCTGGACATGGTCACATCATTTCTTAGGTGCCACAGCCACTAAGCTTGTTCTTCCCCAGCTGCCAGGTTGGGGATATGACATCACCCTGCACCAGTTAAAATAATATTTTTTTTGTTTATCCTGTCTCCTGCTCTGACATTTTTTTGAGTGCTTGGTTTTGCAATAGCCAGCACTTAAAAAAGCACAGGTTCCAGCTGAGGATGACTCACCACATGCTGTTTGTTGAGCCACAGATGAATTTAAGCCATCGGGGATCTCCAGTTGCCTGGGCTTCCTGACCTTTTTCCATCATCCTATTTCAATTTTCACCTGGACACAAGGGTTTTACTGGTGCATGAAGCTCTGATGACCATGTCCACATGATAGACAAGGCACAGGGAAGCAGTTACTGCTCATAAGCCTCAGCCGAGGGCTGTTGAAGGTGGTGCTTGCTGAGTGCTTGTGGCCAGGGCTGCTGCTGCCCACCACGCCAGTGCCACGAAGCCCAGCAGATGTACTTCCAGGTGCTTTGGTGTGCAAACACCACCTGGTGCTGAGGCTGCTGAAGAAATTGGGCTGAGAGAGGGGTTAAAAACCACCTGCAATCACCTCATTTTGGGGTGCAGATTTGTCCCTGTCAACACTCAGCACGGGCACACACAGCACTCAGCCAGCCTGAAAACAGGGGCTGCTCTCGGCTGGGTGAGTAGAAGGATCCAGAGAGACTTAAGCTCACAGATATGACAATAAGGGGACAAACGGCTGGAAAGCATCGAGGCAGGCTGGCTGTGACAATACAGGGCACACTGGGGAACCATGGGTGGTCTTGCGGCTGTACATAATAGAATCCTATTCTCTCTCTGCAGCTTTTCCTTTGGCTCCATTCAGTTGTTTCAGTAGATGTCAGCACTAAGCTACCCCTGAATCAGAGCATAAGGTAACTGGCTGCTGTACCAGCCCTCGCTGAGCAAGGGTTTGCCAGGAGCTGTGGTGGGACCAGTGCTGGCTTCTGGGCAGGTTCTCACTAACAGTACTGGGGTATGGCTGGGGAGCAAGGGAGGATTGCACATCACCGAACGCAAGGATTTAGTTCCAGGCTATTCTGACTCAGATATCGTATGCTTTGGAACAAGGTCTGCCCCAGTGCCAGGAGCTCAAGCCGCTTTTCCTTACAGGTAACTCCAGCAAACCTCCTGCACTCAGGGTTCAGCAGTGTTCCAGGTGTGCCATCAACTCGTGTCACTCTCCATTACTAAACATCAAAATGTCACCTGATGGCTATGCAGGGGCCCATCGCCATTATAGAAGACCAAGGTGAATATGAGCAGAAGAGAGAAAACATTCCTTTCCTCTATATAGATGCATTTTTAGCAACTGAGGTTAATTGTCATGTTTCTTCACAGGATTAGACAACACAGTTAAATTTCATGTTGGTACCCTTGCTTTAGACTCATTAATCTGTTGTTAATTTCTCTGTCCAATGTATCTACATACCCGTCATGATTTTAAAGCATTGAGCAACTGAGAATTCACTGCTTTTGTTGGGAGTTTTTTCTTATAGCTACTCACCACAAGAAACTGTCACTGTTAACGTGTGAAGTGGTGTTATTTTTCTCCTGTTAGAACTGCTCAACTGTCAGCTCTGTCTCGTCCATAATTTTCAGGTCT